TTGACTGCGAACCCATTCCTCAGTCCGACTGCGAGAGCCGCGTTCACTAGCATCGGCTTCGATAGCAGCGAGCTCAGCCCTGTACTGGGCCTCCACAGCTTTGCGTTGTGCTTCCGCAGCTATGCGTTCTGCTTCTACTCGCTTGGCCTCCAAAACTGCGAGGTCACGTGCGTAAGACGCTTCTGCTGCGAGTTTTCTCGCAGTAACCGTCGCGGAGGAACGGCTTGTATGTGAAGCAGCAGTGTGTGAAAATATTTGTGAGCAAGTATCAAAAGACTGTACCTGTGTGTGGGTATGCCCGCGGGTAGTGGATGCAGGGGATGTTGAACCCACCTGACTACCCGATTGTGCGGGTGTAGTGTCCTCACTTTGGTTGGTAAGCTTTATTTGTGACCTTGTCACTACCATTTTCACTGAAAATAAGAGGGCTGAAAGAAAACTTCGATATTCACTGGTATAAACTGGAGAAGGACCACATATAACGGACCTAAACTTATATAATTAAAAGGTCCAGTTATTATGAATTATTTTTATTTTATATATGATAATTTTAGTATGTACAAGCAAAGTATATAGATGACAAGTTCAACTAAAAACAAAACATATGAATATGAAAAAGACATTTAGACAGTTAATAGAATATCAACAAAAATTACAAAAGAGTTATTATATATAAAATTATGGTGGATTCGCAACTTCAAATCCTTTGTTCCAGATCCCTTGTTTATTGAAGTTTCAGTGTACAGGATTTACCGTTCAATGGCGCTAGTAAAAATGTCAGCTATCACTTGTAAGGGAATTTCCCACCCTTAGAATAATTTCACTAAGCATCCAAACTAAGGGCAAGTTTTTTGATCCGTAGTCAAATGTCATTTCACCATTTGTTAACTTGACTATAGTTAAAACATTAACAAGTTGTTAACTCGCTTTTTCGTTTTTTGATGCCAAATTAAACCATTGCCAAATTTAACCACTGGCCAATTTGTTGCCAGCACATTGAGTCGTTTTTTCGCTATACATTGACATGGGTAATTTTTTTCTCGGTGACAACACTAACGGTTTGAATGAACGGAGCGAACTATATATCTTGATTAGATTTTGTTCTAAATATCAAATAGACAAAAGAAATCTATAGATTATCAAACAGTGTGGATGTTTATGGTTGTTCTGTTGTGTGCACTATGTGTTATTTTTCAGGAAATATAAGGCAATTTCTTTAATAATGTTAGAAAGCAACGAAGATATGTTTTTTTCCAGCTATTTTAAATTTAACTTTTTTTATAAAAAGCATATTTATTTTATAGAGAAATACGTAAGAAGAATATAGGATCTAGTATCCAAGGTGGGATTGTAATGTTGGAAAATAAATCGAGGACTATCTATTTTATATACTGTAGGCATATTTGCCTTTTGTATTGTCTATTCGTGGAATTTATAAGATTTTTAATAATTGAATAATTTGACATCTGCCCTTGGAAACAAGAAAAAATATTTTTATATAGTACAAATATACTAAGGATGATCAAGATAAAAATATAACTTATTTTCAATAACCCTATAACCAAAAAATGACAATGAATACGAGGGTCAAACTGAAAGTTCTTAGAACTGGCCACTTATAAACAATATAATAAAAAAATAATTCTAAAATTTGAAAATATAACTCTTTGCCAATATTACTGAGTATATATTTCATTCATTTGTCATTTGTTTTACGATTTGGCGGCAAATTGAAAATTGTCTGTGTCACGTCATCATGAATTTAACACGAGAAAATTTTCGTGCAATGATTTTTTATGACTTTCGATGTCATTTAAGTCAACAAGAAAGTTATGATAGACTACGATTGGCCTTTCACGATGAAGCCCCATCTCGTGCGACTATTTACAACTGGTTTAATGAGTTTAAACGTGGTCGCACTAATCTCACTGATGATTTACGTGAGGGACGGCCTTCTACGGCGACGACTGAAGATAACATCTGTGTTGTGCGGCGTATGATAGAGACTGACAAAAGAGTGACCTATCAACAGATTCGGACAAGCTTAGGCATCGGTATGAGTCAAGTGCACAAAATCCTCCACGAACATTTAGCGGTCAGGAAGCTTTGCGCCCGGTGGATACCTCATAATTTGACTGAGGCTCAAAAACTCCATCGTGTGGATTGGTGTCGTAAAATGATTGAAAGATTTAACGGAGGTGACTCAAATGCTGTGTTCGACATACTAACAGGTGACGAAAGCTGGATTTACTGTTATGATCCTAAAACCAAAAGACAATCTGCTCAGTGGGTGTTTCCTTTCGAGGAGTTGCCAACTAAAGTGAAGAGAGATCGAAGTGCGGGAAAAAAAATGGTGGCCTCGTTCTTTGGAAGGATAGGTCATTTTGCAACAATTGTGTTAGAGGATCAAAAAACAGTTTCTGCAGAATGGTACACTACCAATTGTTTGCCACTTGTCTTGGAAAAAGTTCGAGAGAAACGACCTCGCAGTAGGATCCTCCTTCACCACGACAACGCCTCGTCGCACACCGCCAAGCGAACGATCGACTATTTGGCGACATCAAACGTTGAATTACTGGGTCACCCGCCGTATAGCCCCGACCTCGCGCCTTGTGATTTTTATTTATTTCCAAAAATTAAAGAAAAACTTAAAGGAAAGCGGTTTATGAATGCTGAAGAAGCGGTGGCTGCGTATCGCGATGCCATTGAAGAGACCCCTAAGGACGAGTGGGCAAAGTGCTTTTCCCAGTGGTTCCATCGCATGCAGCGGTGTATTGACGTGAATGGACAATATTTTGAAAAGATATAATAAAACTAATAACTGGCTAATGTAATCAGTTTTTGATTTTCTAAGAACTTTCAGTTTGACCCTCGTAGTATCCTATGAAATTGCATAATAAAACGAAATCCCAAAAACAGCTAATGTCCAAATTCACTATGAAATCATGTAGGTTATAAAAACAACGTAAAAAACAATAACAAGGGACTAAGTAAATACAACGCAGTTGTACATCTGTTCTTTTAACAATTGGTCATTTACTTAACCTAGCTTCCAGTGATTGTTAAATTTTTTGACAAATGGTTGTAATTCTGACAATTGGTTAGGCTAACTATTAATCAAAAAACATATTTTTCTAATATTTAACCGTTTGTCAAAGATTTTAACAAATGGTTGAGTTAACCACGGATCAAAATAACTGGCCCTATAGGTCCCATCCCTGATTAAAATAAACTATCAAAGAGTGAGCAAATTATGTACCCATAAAGAATATCTAATCTTCTTGCAAAAAGTCAATTACATCATTCGGATACACTCACCTAAACATAATATTGTTAAAACAAAAAACGTTGTTTATTACATGGCTGTGCAACTCGAGAAATGTATCATAAAATCATTTACTTTTTATTTATCACAGCAATACGATTCAGACAGCTGTATTTTCAATTTTAAGTTCATTACCAAGTAGAAATTGTGTTTATATTATGCGTGTATCTAAACGCAAATTAATTATTAATTGCGATCGTAGCTGTAGTACTACTTTACTCTTTGCGTAATGCCAACATCTAAAATATGTAAATACTTTGATTAAAAACCTTCTATTTTTTATGGTATATTTTGTTGCATGTTCTAAGGAATTGTTATCGACACTTTATATTTTAATTTATTTTAAACATTATTTTTACAAATTAATAATTACTGTACATTTTGAGTGATTCTTTGGGCAGGATCTGGCTATGTCCTTTAAGAAAATAATAGTGACTCAGAATAGAGGAGATAAGTAAAAAGGAGAATTTTAAAAAGATAACTAAAGAAATTGTTATTATATTACCCAAAAAGAACAGGAGTGAGTCGATTATTTTGTGTTTTGCTACTTGGCGTTCACACAGTTGAGCGAACGTTCTACCAATTGAGCTACTCAAAACCATAGAGAGATGGTCTTTTTCTTCTACTAGAGTCCATAGCCGGCTATGGCTATTTTAGGGTTCTCATGGTCATTAACACCAAAATGATTGCTAAAAACGGGATTGCTACTACCGTATGAATCATGGGGCTGGCAATATCGGAAACTCATAAAATATAAGGCACATGGTAGCGATCCCGTTTATAACAGCCATTCTTATGAACTAGTTTTAACCATTTTAAAATTTTCGGAAAGTGAAGTTTTACATATTACAGCTAGATCACAGCTGTCAACGATAGTAGTTTTGCTATAATGCAACATTTAAGTACCTTTCACTGTAGAGTAATATATTTGGTATGAATTAGTTAGAATGCTGTGAAGTGCCAAATTACCAAAAAGGTGGGTAGTGGTCAAAATTTTCATCAATTTTAGTTTTGTCTACATTCTTTCACGAAAGAATTATCTTAAATTTCGATCGAGTTGTGTTTATATTTTCAGCATATCAACTCAAGTTTCAATAAATATCCATCTCCATATTATTATGCACACTCGTATATTCCAGTAGGGCCTAACATACTTCCGTAACCATTTTCCGAGTGATCTCAAGAGGCAATTTACTTTGGCGACCTTCTAAAGTTCTCACCACTTGTGTGATAAAAGCTGCTCAAGTGCGATCATATTTTCGAATTGACTTCTTGTGACGTAATCACCCAGCCTTGAAATATCTACATTTACACATCATAACTTTTTAATGGGGAGTCATAAAATCCCCGAAATTTCTTATTACGTAGAGAACTTTTCCGAAAACGAATTTTCACTCAATTTCGAAATGATTTTATGACTCCATTTAAACTTTTGAATACTCTGATAATACACAAATAACTGAAGAAATAAAAAAATATATGCTGAAATCTTCTAAAATTTAATAATTGGATATACGGAAAGAAAAAAATCTTTGAACGAGAAATTACTAAACTTATACGATATCTGTTATTTACATTGTCTTGGATTTGGTTTATTTTTGATGTGTTATATTGCCAGAAAAGAAAAAGGAAAATTTTTCGTTATTTTTTTTTCTGATCTAGGGTATTCCAAAAGATGCTTTATCAAGCCCCCAGCCCCCAAAGGAAGAAAGAGCCAGCTCCAAGGGAGAACAAATTAAGATTATTCCTGAAAAGGTCCTCAGAACCACTTCTAAACCTGCAAAATGCTGCCCAACAGGTAAATTAGTGCTTCATTTTAACTGTACCTTTCACTTGAAAGGTATTATATTATAAGGGAATGCTACATGTAACCTCCTTTGCCATGTATACAATTAAATTGCCATCTCTATAAGCCCTTTGCCACATTGATAAACGTCTACCTAATTTGATCCCTCATTCCAGAATCGCTTATACCCTACTTACCGGTGTAAATTTGTGCAATCTAAACCTTGTTTTGTTTTGAGATTGTTGTTTTAGTAGATAAACCGTTTCAGAGTTTCTATTTACTAATATACTTATGACGTTGCGTGTAGGTATAAGCAATGCTGGTGTTGTTTACTAAGTGGAAAAGAACATTAGATTGTAATAAACTCCTGAAAGTGTAAGTGTGTTTTGTATTTAGGGTATTCGATTCGAGTCTTAAATGCCGATAAAACGCTTTCCCCAGTTTCATTAAGTCAAAAGTTCTCATGCCGAGAATGACGATTGCAGAATAACAAGTATTTTCAATAAACGAGACGAATCGTGAATTTACGCTCCTATTTCGCCTTCCTTTGTGAGATTAACACAATTCAATGTAATTTGATTCTTATTGTCAGTAGCGTATTGCTCGTTGATTCCGTTTAAGTTAGTATAGTTTGTAATTGGAACATTAAATTTAACAAGTTTAGGTAAGTTTCCCAAATTGTTAACGTCAAATGTTTTACTATGTTCAATACAGAGATCGTCTTTCGCGCAGCAATTGGCACCAATACAAGAGGTAAAAACAAAATTAACGATGTCATAGGGGATAATATTATTTTTATAGGTTTTCTAATATTCGGTGTTCTATGTATATTTTTGACACAATATTCTTTGTAGATAGGTTTTGGAAACATCCACATTCAAATATTATTTATAAAAATGTTTTGGTACGTTTGCATCCAGACGTTTATATGTTGCATGTTATGGTCAAATCCTTATCCCATAATTGCATTTAACGCTTTTAATGATACAATTGTTTTAGTACTTAAATTATAACAACTAAATTTCGAAAAGGGATTTGACCAAATGGTTTATTTTATAATAACGGTAAGTGATCATAATGAATGTTGTCTTCACTTCTGCAATTTGGTTTTAAGTAATTTTAATTCAATTGTTTTGCATGCATTCTTTTTGATATAAATTCAAAAAATCAAGTGTAATAGTAGTTCGCAAGGCATTTTGTTGATATTCATCGTCAAATCTTTAAAGATATTGTGACGTAATTAACACATCTTTCAATTTCATCACCGTTATTTTTACGCACAATTTACTTACAATCATTATTAATATAATAACTAACTTCCGAAAGTTATTACTTTCAGAGATAAACACAATAATGATAGGTTATCTTTGTAAGAAGAATTTGCTTTTCCAACTCTGAATTACTATTGATTTTACTCGGACAAAACTGTGGAGAACACTATGTATAGTCACAAAGCTAATGATCTCACGATCAGATATGAAAAAAATGGTTTATAAATTTATCTTTATAATAAATGCTATCAAAATATTTTGATTTCATGCGCTTTGGAATTTGTTACATTTAATCGATAATGAAGGAAACTAAAGTGTGTTTCATGAAAGTAAAAGCACTACTACTACCCAATTTTATAAGACATCTACCTTATTTAGTCAGAAGCCGATGTAATTTTCACCAACAATTAAGTTCTATTACTGGATATAGTGTTTTTGATGTAAATTCACTTTGACTGACAGTGGATAACAGGATTGCTAATAGCTTTAGCATTCCCGAAGTGGTATCATTTTTTCCTAGATAAATATGTATTTTTATATAGGCCATTTAAAAAGGTTTTGATTAAAAACTTGAGTTTGATTTCCAATTAGTATGTGTCGTTTGGTTCCCATTTATTTCGTTATTGTACTTTTTAAAACCTAAGTGTGATTAATATTATTCATTCTAATTGTTGATACAAAAAGGATCCAAAATATTAAGTACGAAATGGAAAGATTCCATTTCATTTTGTCCTGCAAAAACAGGTTCGGATGAATAATAACATGACAAGAAAAAGTTATTATTTCACTAATGGAGTCCTCGAGCCTATATACGAGTATTACTTTATTTAAAAGAGAAATGTAAAAGTAAATGACATTTTGGCTGTCCTACCGTTCCACCGTTTTTATAACTGAAAGGCAGATATTGATAGAAATGGATATTATTTAGACAATAATTTAAAACGCTGATTTCTTGAAATAAAAGTCAAAGTAAGCTAATGGCACCAATATGCCGATAAATGTATCTTGGAAACGTGACTGTTCAAAGGATTTTAACTTTTTTTATATTATAATTTAATATTTCTATTGATTTTGGTCTAATGTATGAGACAAGTTTTTGTTGTATCTATTTATTCTCCAATATTATTAAAAATGGAATGAAATAATGTAAAGTACCTAAAAACATACTGTGATAATATAAGGCAGACTATAATTTGGCTACTAAAGCTTTAGCAAATTTTATTATGGAAATGGAAATGAAAGTGATAATAAAATAATAGGTAAATAGTACAGTAGTTGATAAAAATAACAGTTTAGGTATTCCGCTAACCATTTTAAATTATCATATACCCATAATATCAAATTGAAATGTTGCAAAACTCCCAAAATCTAGATATTTATTTTTATAGAAATAGCATTAATATATATTTATATGTAAAAATCAGTTTAATACCTACGTCTATATTCGATCTTAAAGTTTATTGTATTTTATACATATATCATGAGTACACCTTCTGAAAATCCATTTACAGTATATCAATTTAGCGTCTTTGATGTCCATAAATGGGATCAAGTCTAGTAAAACGATAATATGCAAATGTGTTCTCAGTTCTACTTTTGGATTTCTTCAATATTTAAACATTATAAGATTTACTAGCTTTTTATCTTTTTTTTAACAGCCATCCTCCCAGCAACATCAGACGCTGATTATAGAAGAGTTCGAGCCAGATGTCTTCAGGCAACTGATAGAGTACATCCATACGGGATGTGTAACTTTGCAACCACGTACTTTGCTTGGTAAGTTTTTATTTAATTTGTTCCTGATAAGGGAAAATTTGTAAATTGTCGATGAGTTCAGAAAATTTACGATTATTTTTAAATGTATAAAAATGTATATAAAAAATAATTCCGAAAGTAATTTCAGTAATTCATTTTATTTATTTATTTAAAAACTAGATTTCGCCAGCGGCTTCGCCCGCGTGGACCCTAGGGAAATGTTTAGTGGGATAAAAAGTATATTATCTAAGTAAGTTAACATCATATCTGTATACCAAATTTCATCAAAATCCGTTCAGTAGTATCGGCGTGATTGACCAACAAACATCCAAACAAAGAAACTTTCACATTAATAACATTAATAGGATTTATGCACTAATGTACAAAGGCGGACTTGATGCTTTAGAAATTCTCTGCTAGTCAACCTTAGGTATAGTACACATATTAGACGAAATTAACCAAATCAATCGAAAGGATTGTATTTGGTTACTTTCGTCTAATATTTTTTACACAGTAAATAGAGACGACGGAGTGCTATAAGAGACATTCAATACATGCTACTCAATAATAAGCGACACTCAACTCCCAATAAGTGCAAAGTAACGTTACATTTATCAATGTTCTTTAAAATCTAATATTATAACTATCTCGGAAGGAAAATTTCTCTTTACTGTTGCACGGTGTCGTTGTGTTAAATTGCATCATCGCAATATGTACCGTATAATGAATATACAATCGTAACCAATTATGATGACGCCTCGCAAAAGTTTACGTGACTATGTGTGCGTAACGACATGACGAGCGGGGTGGTGTTGGAGTGGGGGGCCCGGTGCTGGTTGTCACGATGGATCTATCGCCAAGGGACTCTATTTACTAGCACGTTCTATCCTTCGCAAAGTTCTTAACTAGTTGAATCCAGTCAAGTTATGTCTGAATCATTTTCTCGTGGGAACTTAGTGATAAATAGTATGACTAATATTTTTACTTTAAAAAGTAACAATTTTGTAAAGTAATATTAAGAATATTTTTCATCATCCTTAAAACAAGTTTTTAGAAAAAAAATAATACTCACCCTTCTTAGAACAAGTAAAGCTTTCTTTGGCTTGGGATTAATTATTTAGTGTATGTATTTAGGTGAAGGCCGAATTGAAATTAGAAACTTTGTAATTTTTTCGGTTTTGTTGTCACGTGGAAACGCTTTTCAAAAGTAGTCTAACGAGAAAATTGACGAATTTATCGAACAAAAGTTGAATTCATGAAGTTATTCAAATAATCTTGAAAGGGAAAATAGGAAATCGATCAAATTCAATCTTCTTCCTTTCGTCGACCTACATTTGAAAGTCAAATCGTTTATTTTTGTTTACATCAAACATAGTAATATGTGATGAAGCCCAGACATCTAAAGGCTTTTGCACACCCCAAATAACAAAACGCTATGTAGTTATTCTTTTTAAAACACGTGATTTCGATTCAAATTTACTGGCACTAAATCTATTCTGTTTCAATTTTCTAGAAAAAAGCAATACTTGAATATATCAGTATCCTTCTATCAATTTTAAAGAAACAGTATACTTTCTTTTGTGAGAATAACACATTATACCTTTTCATATATATGTAGTAAGGAGGACTGGAAAAGCAAAACACCAATTTTATGTAGAAATCGTCGTGAATAAAAGCCTTTCGGGTCATGAGTTCTCATTAACTTTGAGCGATATTGCTTTTACTACCAATAATAATATGAGTCATTGAATCATATGATTGCACAGGATTCACGTCTATGATAACTTTAATGTTGAAAATATAAATAAGTTTAACGGTCATAATAACAAATGAAGGGTTGATAAAAAGAGATAATATTCTTAATGGAAAATGCTTAAAATTCCCTGGAAATCCCTTGATATCTAAGACAAAGAGTAGCCCAAAGAGTCAAAGAGTACTAGGGACAAAGTGGATTTTTAAGCATTTTTCATATATTCCATTATAGCA